GAGAGAGAGAGAGAGAAGCAAGAGAGGCGGTAAAAGGGCTAAATATAGTCGGGACGAGGTGGCGCTCGCTATTTCGATTAGCCCTCGACGCAGACCGTGAAAAATCACGGCGCCAGACTCACAAAGGCGGGAAAGAAAAAGAAGAAGAAGTGGGGCCTCGTCGTTGAAGGATCTCAAAGCGTAAGAGGTCCGGCCGTGACTTGGCTCGGCATGGGGCCTCACGGCGTTCTCGCCTCCACCTCCTCTTCCTCTTTTCTCCTTGTCGCGCCGTCTTCGTCTTATTGCATCTCTTTCTCCTTTTCTCTTCTTCTCTCACATACTCACAAACTTTGATCGGCTATATAAGGAGTGATTTGTTGCCGCGGCTTCAACGACGGCGATGGGCAGGATATTTCGTCGTCGACTTCGTTAGCCCTTCTGCGACCGAAAAAAGTTTCGAAAAACGGACGGACGTTAAATCGTTCTATCTTTATCGAATCACGTAGATTGAATCGCTCTGTCTATTTCGTCAAGATTTACAAGGGGTTAATAATCGCAACGATTTCCGCTGATTCTTTCGGACAGGAATTTATCTGTCGAAAATACAGAGTACGCTCGAACAATGATAAATATGATATCCGTATATTCACCCGCGTGTTCTCAACCGAAACGAAATAATTGGGAATTATGGCGCATATGTTAGTTGCACTCGCGCGATATATTTCATCCTTTCGTTGAGGAGATCTTCGATTCACCGATATCTGTCGATCGACGGGTTTAATTTAATAACTACGACTTTCATCTACTATCGGATTCTATATTCCGAATGTTTTATGCGATCCAAAGCGATACTCTCTGTAAAAATACAAGCCATCAAAAACATCACAGTCCGTTATATAATAAAAGCATGAAACTGCAAGTTTTGTTTCCCAAATAAGATTCATAAACAAAGTAATATTAAAAAATTCTCGTCTTCGATACGCGAATAAATTGTACAGCTATACTTTTGTGCATCGTTATCGAGGGTTTCAAAGATGCATGCATAAAAGAATACTATCGATTCTACGGTCTGCATCTACATACACGTTCGTTATTTGGCATTACTAGCTGAGAATTTGCTACTCTACAGGTTGAATGCAACTAATTGGCAAATAAATATATCTCGACGGTAGCACGGTGCTTACCAGGAAGCTATTCGAAAAGCTACGCGTTTCTTTTCTTTCGATTGTACCGTGTATGTATGAACTAGAGGAGAATATACGCGGTATGCACCGTCGTATATTCGCCGGATTCGATTAATTCCGCATATCGACCAGTAATTTACGGCGGTTTACGTTACAACCGCGTCCTCAGCGGAGGAGGAATTTCTATTGCAACGTCGTGCCGCAAATTCTGTATCTGTTGCGTCTCCTCTAATTGCCGCGGACACGCAAGAATCGAGTAACAACCCTGTAAATTCGCTATTCGTCCCCTGAGCGTCATTAACGAGCGAGCGCGCTAAGCCGGTCGAAAGTAAGGCGGTTTACATAAAGTACTCTGATCAATTATGCATAGTTATAATTACGTAAAATATTATAAAGCCACTGCGCTCTCCGCGCAACGGTATCGCGAGCGCTTGAATTATTAATCGGTACGCAACTCGTTGCAAACGCGACCTGGTCGACATAAATTACCGCCGCCGCGCCGCGGCGAGCCAGTTCGCTAATCGTGCGACGCACACCCGCACTGTCGACGCAATCGATCGTGACGATTGCACAAATGCCGATCTACGGGTGGGAAGAGTAGCATAGGTAGCCGCAAAGAAAAACGCGAGAAGTCCCGTCCACGCGCGCTAACGCGGCCGCGATTGCGCGTTTCCGAGAGAGACGCAACAAGGCGAACTCGATTAGCATGAAATCGTGCGCGTCGTCGCTCGCGGCTGCGAAAGTACGCCGATTCTGGTTAATCGTGATTACCTCGTCGTACTTCGCGGCCTCTCTCGCCACGTTGCACGGTTCAATACGCGCGCGACCGTCAAGGCAATTTTACTCTACAAACGCTGTATGTATAAATTATTATTGAGCGACCAACGAGAAATACCGATGGGCGGTCGCAACACCGAGACACGTCGACGCCCATGTTTAGCGGTCGACGGAGCCTACGGCCCCGGCTTTTACGACGCATATTTGCACCTATGTTCAAGCGCGCATTGGCTCCCCCAATGGCGATTGTTGCGCGCACGCGAATATCTACCACGCTTGTCGCGCGACTCGACCGCCGTTGACAGCCGTAAAAGACGATTAGACTTGCCTGGTTGGCGAAGCCGATACGATCTGCCGCCGTTACGGGCTCGTTGATTTTCGCTCCACCGTTAGCCGCGGTGATCGCACAGGGAAATTAATTATCGGAATCCGTGAAAACGTTTGATTTCTACGTGACGTTAACTACAATTCGTCGATGTCATTTGACGATTTTACTCTTTTGAGAGTTAAATTTTCCTTGTACAATATCTAAATCTAGTGGTGGTAGTTTTTTATTTTTGGTAAATAATATTATAAATTACAATTTTTTTCGAATGAAGCTGTAAAATTATAATAGATTACAATGAAAAAAAAAACAAATAACAAAATACTACGATTAAAAGTATCTTTTAATCGATATCAATTAAACAACAAAATTCGATTGCTTGCTAATTCTCTTTACATGTTGTATTACGCGAATATCGCAAAAATTCGGTTTCAAAAAATTGAAATTTGTCGCGCTGCAGTGGCTTCGTCCGTTTCATGAAACACTCCAATTACGATATCGATAATTGCCACTCATACTCGCATTCGAGATGATATAAAAATTTCTGTTGTTAGTAAAATACAAAATTTGCTAATACTTGATTACAAATTTCCACGCCAACGAGCTCGAACGTTCCTTTTAAACGCAATGTTGCGTGTCTGACGCATGTAGATTGAATCACGTCCGAATATTATGACAGAAATTTCAATTCAATTATACGCCATTCCGTTAATTTATTCGGTCGCCACGCATTTCAGCCATTTGAGTTTATTTTGTAAATAGCAATTAATTCCGGAAAGTGCACCGCTTCATACGATACCGGGTTTGGTAACGCTTTTCAGAAATTCAAACGATTCCGCGTAAACGACGCGGTTGT